CGCTAGCGTAGCGTGCTCGACAAGCTGTTGCTTGGTCTTGGTTCGGGTGCTGAATGCGAGAGCCGTGCAGGATACGAGAGCGAAGGGGAGGAGTTAGGACGTGTGGGTATTTATGGAAATGCTTGTGTTGACATGGTTGATGTGTGGTCCCGCTCCTGAAACTCTGCTAATTAGCACCAATAAAGACCTTACATAATCAAACGTTATGTTTATGTATTACCTTTAGAATGAGCCACTGACACCTCAGCTCTTCTTACATGGAAGTCGCCATATTGCACCGCCATGTTTTTACAGTAGCCCAAACGGGCAAACTGCTCACACTGAAGTCGGAAGAACGACTTCCCAACTCAGAGCACGTGAATGCACCGTGAACCACTGATTGCAATTCGTAACCCTAATCACAGTGCAACGTCTCTAACATCCACCAGCACCATGATGTCGTCATGAAGTAGTGGAAGAGTACTCCACAGGCAACCTGTGATGCTCTGGTGAACTCCATGCCCAAGAGGATTTAGGCAGTGCTGGAAAATAATAACACAGAACATTTACACTTTGAGCTGAATTTGGACATATTCACTTAGGGGTGTCCTCACTTTTGTTGCCAGAGGTTTAGACATTAATGGCTGTGTGATGTTTTATACAAGCTGTACACTCACTACTTTACATTGTAGCAAAGTGTCTTCAGTTTTGACACATGAAAAGATATAAAATGTTAGGGGTGTGCTCACTTTTGTGAGATACTGTATTGAGATATATTGACATGTACAATTATGTCAGTTATTACCCAATCCTTATCCACAGGTCACAAAAAAATAAAAAGAGGGGTAAGGGACGCAAAATTCAGCTGAACCAACTTTCAAATCCAAGCAGCCACACACAAGCTGATTTTGAGCGCACACAAACATGCACATCCACATGTACGACCCCCCCCCCCCCCCCCCCACACACACACACACTCACACACTCTCACAAACAAAATACGTGTTTTGTTAGAAAAGTCACATGTAATCGCATAACTGTTAACAAGAATTTGTGTAATTATGTTTCCAGTGCAATAATTCTATTAAGGTGGAAAACCCTTTTACTAACCATTAAATGAATTAATCTAACTTTTTCACAGGGATAATCCATTCAGTACCAATACTGCTGTCCCAGTAGTTCTGGTTACATATGTTGAAAACAAATTTTATTAAAATTGCGGTAATGAGTAGGAATTAGTAATGACAGCTCATCTTATTATAGTGGTGATTCTACTGAAAAATTTCTTTATCTTTTACTTTTAAACTAACTTGCAACAGCAAATACTTAGAAATTGTTTTTATAGAAAAAAGAAAAAGTGACATATTATTGTATGACCTTGTTGTTAATATGGAGAGTTTTTTATTGAACAGTTACATATTTACCCATGCAACATTAGCATTCATTTAGAGATGTACTATGCCTGTATGCAAGTCCAATATTCACCCTTCTTTTAGTTCCGTATTAACTCCTGAGAGAAATATTTAGGTATTTAGCCCGTAAATGCTCAATTGTCTTCATCAGCTAGTAGTCGCTAACCTTTTCTGTCTACGGTTTGATGCTGAGCGGGAAGTGTAAAGTAGAGCTGAGAGCAATGAGAGTAAACCAAACTATAAAGTAGTAGGCTGGAAAACAATAATTGAAGTGCATCAGTCTGCCTGTTTCATATGTGTACCGGTCCAATCTCCATAGACCCATGTCACCTTGACATGCTAAAAATTAAGCAAAAGACTGCCAGTTCAAGCTGCTTTTCAACAGTTGTAATAGAGGGAGGGGTTTCAGAGAGTAGAGGATGTTTCAGTCTCAACGGTTGACATTTTACTGATGACTATAATACGGAAGCTAGAGTCCTGGCATAACTGACAGATCACTTCCTCATTTACGACATGTGTCAAAATGGGAACTATTCCGTTTCTGTGTGTTATTTTCCTGGCATTATTGTGTCAAATGCAAGGTAAAAACATAGTTTTCTACTAATATTTTATGTTTTGGATTGCTTCTTTTAATGTATGTTGTATGTTAGCTCTTAAACATTATTGTAAAATACATACAATAAAGCTAATTTGATCTAATCTAATCTGCCAAAGTTAAAATTCAATCAAGTGTAATGATGAACTACAAAACAATAAGAATAACTAAATTAAAAGGACACAAAGTAAAGATTTAAAGGATAAAGGAAAAGCCATGTTTTTCAGTTTGCTCTTCAGGGCCTTCATTAAAGACAACCGATATGACAACAAAATCAGTTCATATGAGCATTTTCTTAGCTGACCAAGATAAACTAGGTACTAAGATACTTCTTAATTGATGATCTGTTGTTGAAATGTAGTAGTAATGGAAAATTATTCAGTTTGACCAAATAACCATATATTGTGAGTATTGTGAGTAATATATATATATGTTTTCATTGATTACAATTGATTGTCTACTGTTTTTACAGGGTCCAGTGCTGTGACTCCTGTGTTTGTGCAGAAGGGAAAGGATGTTCTTCTGAACAACAACATGACAGCTGATGTTCCTGAGAACTTTTTTATTCTTCAATGGAAATTCAATGCAAATCTTGTTTTAGTAACATATTTACCTGATAAAGAACCAACAGTCTCTCCTGTCTACACTGGAAGGATTGAGACTGATGTGAAAAAATACTCTGTGAAAGTGAAGAATGTACAAAAGGCAGACAGTGGAGTTTATACTATAACAGTGACAGGAACTGCAAGAACACAAATACTAGCTGAATACGATGTCAGAGTTCAAGGTAGGTTTGTTAACATTTCAAATACTGACAGAGAGAATCTGCTGCCATGTTTCTAAAACATTTCACCCAAACGTTCCTCCTCAGGTCAAGTGTCTCCAGTTGAACTGTCAGTGGACTCTGTGTCCAGCAGCTCAGACTCCTGTAACCTCACTGTGACCTGCAGAACACAGGACTCTAACATCAGCAGCACTTTCACATGTGACAACCAAACCTGCAGTCAGGAGGGAGGAGAGCAATCAGAGGTCACAACCTCTGGTGCTTCTCTACATGTCTACTTGCTGAATGACTCAATCATCTGTAACCATAGCAACCAGGTCAGCTGGACCAAGGACGGTAATGAGACAAAATCTTTCTGTGCAGGTAAATTTAAAAGACATAATAAAAAACAGTGATTAATTGACTAAAGTTAATTATAACCATTCAAACATTTCACACATTTTGTAAAGTTCTCTGGGGGCAGACTGATTTAGTTTAACTACAATGGATAAAGCCATGTAAAAACAAAACAAACAAAGTCTTTGTCATGCTCAACATTTTAGATTCTTATATTAATGTGAAATGTCAAAAATACTGTCAACACTTGGCTGCATTTTGTTTACCAATTGGAAATTATATAATTATATAAATCATTATATAAATTATTCTTTGTCTAAAACTGCCACATGAAGGTTTTTCAGCTTTACTAAATGAAAATACCTAGACGTTTTTTAAAGAAAGTCCAAAAGTATTCAAATGCTGTTTCTCTCATGCTTGTCCTATAACCAACCAATCCCATGCTCCCTCTGCTCTAAACAGCAGGGTTTGTATTGTGTATTTGAAGTTTTGTAATTGTCATGTGCAAATCATCATCAACCATTTTGTCACCAAATACTGTAGGTGTCATCCCACTTACTTTCTCTTACTGACCAGAAAAAGATTAGTAGCTAATCCCTCTTGAAGTCAACCAGGTGTTACGAATGGAGGTTGTGAATTAGGTTTAACTTTGGTTGTTTTTGCTTCCAGAACAGTTCTGCCCTTCTTAGGAATGTGTAAACTACACTAAACTATAGGAACATAAACTTGAAGTGTCTGATGAAGTTCTTTGGTTTACAGTTCGTAATGGAGCCATCAGATTTGGAATTGCGATTTGGACTGGCATCACTGTTGGCCTTGTCACTCTCTGCATTTGCCTCTTCATAAAATGTAAGTCACAGTGTTTTTCAGACAACAGAGTAATCAGAATCTTCATGTTATTTAAGCATAATGTTGCAATTACATATAAATCCAGTATTGTAGCAAAGCATACCTTTCATATAACATTGCTTTGTATGATTACACATCACCATCAGAATGATTTGAATCAACTTATTTTTACATGGTGTTTTGCTGTTTGAATAATTTTACTAACCTGAATCACAATAACTTTGCTAACTTTAGAGCACTCTTGCTTTTTACTAATTAAATCATATCCCTCAAGCTACACATGAAATTAATTTATAGTAAATGGATATAGTATTTTCCCCTCCCGGAATAATATACTGGAAGTGTGAATGCTTAAAAAAGCATTTAGGGAGATAAAGCAGAAAATGTGCAATGTTAACAAAATATGAAAATAACTTTTAATTTTTAAATTAAAATGTAAAGTTTTCTATTTTAGCCTTTAAATCATCAACAACACAACAAAACCAACATACTAAAAACTGCTGGGTCCCAGTATGGGTCAATGCAGTGCCATCAAAGTTATGGGTTAACTTTACTCAGTGCCACTGGGTAGAAAATCGCCCAAAACAGGCATGTTTTGATCTTGAAAAACCCCACTAACTCTAGGTCAGAAAGAAATCTTGAGTGATTTTGCATTGCTGCTATATTGCACCACTCAAGATTTCTTAGACATTAATGGCTGTGTGATGTGTTATTTTGAGTGGACAGCAAATTTACACTGTTATACAAGCTATACACTCTCTACATTGTAGCAGAGTGTCATTTCAACAGTGTTGTCACATGAAAAGACATCAAATATTTACTAAAATGTGAGGGGTGTACTCACTTTTTTAGACATACTGTATGTTCGTATCTGCCACATGCAAATGTCATTGTTTGTGCAGTTTCTTGTGATCCAATATCTTGTAAACTGAAGAATTTCCATCTATCCAAACATGCTGGCCGAGATGTCATCATTCATTAGGTTTGTAATAATGGCAAACATTAACATTTTCTAACAATGTTATTTTTATTTATTTCTAGAACATCAAATCAACCCAAACTGAGTCAGTCCAGTCCTACATACATTTTGTCAAGTCTGTCTCCAACCTCCACCTACTCCCTGTTAAATGTTTTACACTGGACCTGCAGAATCTGCTAGGACCAGAGACACCACCTCACCAGACACTGTGTACGCTCAGGTAGACAGATCTGCCAAGTCCAACTACAGAATTCCCACCCCAGCAACACCCAGAGCTGGAAATTAATGATAGCATGTCAAGCACTGAAGTTTTGATTTCCATGAACTGTAATCCATATTCTTCAAGATTAAAACAAAAGAGGCTTGAAATGTTTAACTTTGTGTAATGAATCTAGAATATATGCAAGTTTTGCTATTTGAATTAAATTACAGAAGAAAATTAAAGCTGCAAGCAGTGTTGGGCGGGCCCTCGCATGTGTAGTGCATCGGGGTGTGAGGCAGCCGCGTTGCATACTCTGTAGCTCTGGCAGTGCAGCTGTGAATTTGCTCGTGCTTCGGATGCTGCATGAAGGTGTTATACGTCACTTCCTGTTTCCCCTTTGTGGCAGTACATAGCACTTGGTGCTATGATTATAAATGAATATTGGCGTGTAGATGTGTTTGGGGCAGGACACTTATCAAGCACGTAAAGTTTTGTGCAGATGTGAGCATATACACTGAAGTTACAACAACTTCCTGTGTCATGGCGAAGAGTTGATGTTTGATGCTGCGCCACGGACACGCCCATCGACAAAAACTCACCGGTAGCACAACTTTTCTTATCGTCAGTGCCTTTGGAATGTACATTAGAAAAATTAGAAAAAAGAGGTTAAAACCGCACTTTCAATTAAAAATGGCTAACTTCCTGTTGAGTAAGGGTATTGGTTGTTGAGGCTTTTTTGTGTGTCTTGATATGATACATGTCCCCAGAAAATTTTGTGCATGTAGGTTGAAGTAGGGCTAATTTTTTCCAACTTTACAGTTGGCGAGACCCTGAAAATACATAAATTTTCACCAGACCTGACATGTGTGCAAAGATTGGTGAGTTTTTGTGGACATCAAAAGTGCGATTCATTTGGGAGAAAGAAAGAATAATAATAATAATAATCCTTACAATTTCAATAGGGTCCTCGCATGTTTCATCCTTGGGCCCTAAATAACTTTTCCACAACAATCTAAGTTTTTGTGATTTACATTTATTCATTTAGCTGACACTTTTATTCAAAGCGACTTACAATTGTTATACATGTCAGAGGTCGCACGCCTCTGGAGCAACTAGGGCTTAAGTGACTTGCTCAGGGACACATTGGTGGATGGGTCACAGTGGGGAATTGAACCCGGCCTCTCACACCAAAGGTCTTAACCATTACGCCATCGCCATACCTGTATTTACAGAACTAAACCATTGCAAGTACATGTTAGATTCCAACTCTGTATTCTGTACTCATCTTTAATACGCTGGCACAGGGGGCATGCTGGAACCTGTTGAGATCCTGTATAGCTATAAACAGCGCTTGGAGTGGAGAAAAAAACAGGTGCCAGTATTCATGATTCACATGTTGGTTTGTGTATCGGTTCTATTCTGTCTCTAGTTTCTCTCTCTAGTTTATTAGTTGAGATCAATAACTCAACTGTTTCACAAATAAAAATGTTTTCTGATATTACACTACTGTAAGGTTTGATAAGGGCTAATGTTAGTGTATTCATTATAATTCAGATACTATACTATATAGCTTACCAATAGTATTACTGTGCAAGAAAAATGCTCTACGTGGTGATTAGTCTCCCATTTGTTAGGTAGTCGCTCAGTACTTTTAAAACTAGTGGTACTAATAACTGTTCATGCAGAACAGCAATTTCAACAGTTTGCTGTAATGTCTATGAAGATTCTCAGTCATCCAGGTCATAGTAATCCAACGAAGGTTAAAGTCAAGGGCAACTGGACTTGGTTGAAGATACTGGAAGACGCTTCGTCCCTCATCCAAAGGACTTCTTCAGTTCTGAAGAATATGAAGAACTGAATGATAGTTTGCTGTAATGCGCCGAGATAAGATTCCCCGATTAGCCTCTTCCCTCTCACCCTTTTCAGGAATAGTAGCCTAATGTGTTTAATATTAAAATTTATACAAATTATAACATACTAAGTTAGCCTACTATTGTAAAATAATATTCTGTTGCACATTAAAAGAACTTCATGATATGCTAACTAGACAATTTCCAGGAGCTTGCTCAACCGCCTGATTGCAAGGGGTTAGGTAATTTTTCTTCTTTCCCCAAATTGGCTCTAATGGGTTAAAATGTTTTCCCATTCTCTCTATAAAATGTAATTACATTTATCTTTTGTTTTAATCTAATAATTTATTCTAGCCTAATCTCTGAAGTCTTTTAGACATCATGTCCTGTGCGGCGCGTGTGGATAAGATACGTGAAAAGAAATTAAACGGGTATTACCAACTAAAAAAATATGTTGCGAGGGCTTGCCGATAACACCACTTAGGGAATGAGCCCTAGGACTCGGTCGTCTACTCGCGTTGCTCCTGGCTCTGCCCGAATCCGCCCGACGTCTCCCTGCAGGCCCCTCTAGCGACTGCTCTCACGGTCGCCCGCTGCTGCGTCGTCTCGGCTGCCGCGCCGGTTCCGTCCAAAGCAATTACTTCCCCACAGGTCTCTCGTAGCTGCCGTCCTCGTGCTCGATGCCCCCCTGCTCAGAATGGGGTTCAACACCCTCTGGTGTCTTTTCTCAACTGCCAACAAAATACCAAGAAGCCTGCCATTTCAAGTTAAGTGCACTACATCTAAAGAGCAAAGGGAGCCGTCACACCGGCCCCTATGAACGTGCACTTCACTAGTTATGAATAAATGTAAAACGGCTGTTTGCTGACTTTGTTAAGAAAACCCCATTAGTATCAAGAAAAAAATCTGAGGAAGTCAGGTAAGGTAAATGAAGTAGCTATATGTATCTTTTTTATGTAGTCCTGCTGAATAATATAAGACATGTCCTTCATTAAAATTATTTGTCAATTGCCCCTTGCACTCCCTACAGATAGGTTGATACTCTCAAACCTGTCAATTACTGTATCAAAATCTATCTTCACTAGTAATCTCTTGCTACCAACTTTTAGACAGAGCCTTCATGTTTTTAAAGACCTGAAATAACTTTTTTCATGCAGTTTAAGCAAATGTCCAACATGAGACAAATTATTAAACAGCTGGGTTCTAATGGGATTTTTAACATGATTTGTATTTGTTTTACCTGGCTCCATGTGATTTTGTGCATTCAGTGTAATGATGTAATGAGTCTGTTTCCTCTATCTTCTCAAACCATTTTGTGAGTCAGACCCCAAGGTGTTAATGTATGTAAATAGATGGACTTACCCCAAATAAAAATTTCTTATGTTGTGTTGACAGATTTTATTGACCTTTATTAGCGTCCAGACATTTCTTTTCATTGCTTAACAAACTTAGTTGCTAAAACTTGAGCAAAAGACTAACAGTCTAAGCTGCTTTTCAACAGTGATACTGTAATAGTGGTTTCAGAGACAGAGGCTGTTTCAATCGGGGGACAATGAAGTTGAAAATCTAGTAAAATATACCTATATTACCTTAATTCAGGAGTGTTGTGAGACATGAAATGTATAGTTGTTAAATAAAGTGTATCTGGGCAGCCCAGTATCCTAATGGTTAAAGCGCATACCATATAACTGCAACAGCCACGGTTTGATTCTCAGCAGAGAGAGCCTTTTTTGCATGCCCCTCTTTTTTTCACATTTCCAGTCTAGCTGTCAAATAAAGGCAAAATGCCAATCAATCAGTCTCTCTGTCTAACTCTTTTTCTCTCTGTTTATGGTATTCTACCATAGGGCCCTGCTTACCACAAAATGCTAACACACTTCCTGTGCAAGTTGCTTGAGCATAAAAGCAGATCACTTCCTCGTATGTGACATGTGACAGAATGGGAAATTTTCTATGTGCTATTTTTCTGCTGTATTTGTCTCAAAAACAAGGTAAAAACTTATTTGTTACTAATATTTCTTGTTTTGGACTGCTGCCTTTTATTCAAAAAACCTGGCAGTTGTACATTAGCTCTAAAACATCATGTAAGAGGCATACAATAAATAAAGCTATTCATTTGAACGTTTTCTTAGTTGTACCTTTATGTTTTTGGTTTGGAAAAGTTTAGGTGACTCAAACTACTTTGCTAAGGTTAGGGAAGTAGAATCATACTTAGTAAAAGAAACCTAAACATGTGCCATTAGAATAACTTAATTTTTTAATGCTAATTTTGATTGATCTTCCTGACTTTGAATCGATCTTTCTGTGTAGAGTTTGTTCTCCTTACACTCCTATGCACAGAATAAGCAGGTATAAAAAAGAATGGTTAGACGGTAAAATAACATGAAATCCCACAAGTCTCTCTGCTCCTTTGCATTTAAAAATCGATAAAGAAAATGTTGACAAAGGTAAAGACCTAAGAGCATTGTGTTGAGGAAAATACTTCTGAATTGTTATTGTTTTAAAAAGGTAGAGAAACAAGTTACCAGTATATTGAAATATATACAGTATGTTTAAATGTATTACAACATAAAGTTTTATACATTCTTTGTGAAATTACATGAATTGGCCAAATGCTTTGGTTCAAAACAACTTAAATTTTTCCATGATGCAAACGCTCAAGGCCACTTTGGCACATGGACAGAAGGAGCAAAGGACCAAAGCTGGGTAACAATCGTTTGGGGAAAAGGGGGGAAAAGCGGCGACAAGGTTAAAGAAAATCCCCTGTTTTTCTTATGTAACAGAATAGAAAGTTTGCAATGTTGAAAAAACAAACAAACTTTGAGTAACATCTTACTCTCACTGAGTTTCACATGTTGAACTTCTCTATCCTGAGGCACTGTGTCATGAAACAATTTTTGAAGAAATTTTTCTACCCTTTATACACCACAATATGTGGAAAGTACTTCATAATTTTGAACTGATGAGTGGAGTAACATTTAGTATTGACTAAAAACATTTATTGTGAGTGATTTTTATTGTATTATGTGTTTTTACAGGCTCCAGTGCTGTGACTCCTGTGTTTGTGCAGAAGGGAAAGGATGTTCTTCTGAACAACAACATGACAGCTGATGTTCCTGAGAACTTCTTTACTCTTCAATGGAAATTCAATGCAAATCTTGTTTTAGTAACATATTTACCTGATAAAGAACCAAAAGTCTCTCCTGTCTACACTGGAAGGATTGAGACTGATGTGAAAAAATACTCTGTGAAAGTGAAGAATGTACAAAAGGCAGACAGTGGAGTTTATACTATAACAGTGACAGGAACTGCAAGAACACAAATACTAGCTGAATACGATGTCAGAGTTCAAGGTAGGTTTGTTAACATTTCAAATACTGACAGAGAGAATCTGCTGCCATGTTTCTAAAACATTTCACCCAAACGTTCCCTCCTCAGGTCCAGTGTCTCCAGTTGAACTGTCAGTGGACTCTGTGTCCAGCAGCTCAGACTCCTGTAACCTCACTGTGACCTGCAGAACACAGGACTCTAACATCAGCAGCACTTTCACATGTGACAACCAAACCTGCAGTCAGGAGGGAGGAGAGCGGTCAGAGGTCACAACCTCTGGTGCTTCTCTACATGTCTACCTGCTGAATGACTCAATCATCTGTAACCATAGCAACCAGGTCAGCTGGACCAAGGTCATTAAAATGACCGAAAATGTCTGCCTCCAACATGCTGGTAAGACTGATGACTGTCAACTTGCTGATAATAATGCACAGTTTAGATGAATATGGTTAAAATACATGTATATTTTTCAATGTTATAACATTTTAGCATTTGTCAAGGAAGAGTTGTTCTGGTGGCAGAAATGTTGTCCTCATTGGTTTGTGGACTACAGTTCTGAAAGCCTTTAGTTTGGCATCTTGTTTTTTTTGGAACCAGATGTGACCATCTAAAGCTTGCCTTGCTTTCTTGTCTATTTCCCTCCAAATGGTATCATAATTTACAGAATACAGATTCGAACCAATTAAAAACAGAGAGGGGTTAATTGAACAAATTTAAATGTACTTATCACAGATCCGGTCTGTAACAAAAACATTTGCATAAATGACCCTTCGCTAAGCCACGCCCCCCTTAGTTACTGTTGCTAAGTCCGAAAAACTGTCGGGACCTGTCAGACTTACATCCTGGTGCTGCCACAGTCTATTACTGCACTCCCTGGAGAAATATTGTTTCTCTAACTAACTTTTGGAAAAAGCAATCTCAGAAAGAAGCAGACAGTTTTGCAGTTGCATTGTGCATTTGAAGGTTGAATTCAGGCTGTCAAACTGTCATGAAAAAAAAAAGAAGACAGAAGCTAAAGCCTACCGATCAGAGTAAAAATGAGCCACCATATTTTTATTGGCTATTGAGAAAGAGTACAACGATATTAAGAATCAACACTGCTTCTGTACAGCTGGGTAGGTCTCTATTCACTAATACAATAATTAAAAAGCAGAACAGTAGGGCTTTACAAAGTTACATTCAGTAGTAATTAGCTAGCGTTAGCTAACTAACATTACATTAGAAACAATCCACAGCCTACATTTTCTGGATTTGTTTTAGGTTTTGGAAAGGGAATAAATCCTACTTCTCCTTTCAACATCTCTGGGTAGTGACTGTAAGTGCAAGTGTCGCAGGAACAGTGTTTCACCATATCTTGCAAAAATACAGCAAAAAAGAAATAGAAAACGACTCCTTTTACATACGAGTCAATGGAGCGCAGCCATGAAAGTGTCGGACCTGACTTCTTCTCTTTCCCGTAGTCTTGTGCTTTCTCGTCCCTCTCCTCTCTCCTCCTATCACTTCCTGCAGGTGTTTCTGGCTCTGGAGCTGTGGAGTCTGGATCTGTGGTTGCGAGTCACCTGCTGCCCCCATGTTCCTGCTCGACACCCTCTGCTACAATTATTATTACTAGTAGTCCTATTGTTATCATTATCCTTAACATTTCGATTATCATAAACACTACTATAAATATCTGTACCATTATTCATTCAGTCTGTACCAACATTACCTTTACTGTCTGTACCTGTCTCTCTCTCTCTCTCTCTCTCTCTCTCTCTCTTACCCCCAACCGGTCGAGGCAGATGGCCGCCCACACTGAGCCATGGTTTTGCTTGAGGTTTCTGCCTCTTAAAAGGAAGTTTTTCCTTGCCTCTGTCGCCTAGTGCTTGCTCTTGGTGGGAATTGTTGGGCTTCTGTAAATAACATCACAGAGTACAGTCTAGACCTGCTCTTTTATGAAAAGTGGTCTGAGATAACTGATTTGGCGTTATATAAATAAAATTGAATTGAAATTGGATTGAAAGTTAGAGTGAGTCCTATACTGAGCTGTGATTGGCCAGCGTGGCTTAGTGAAGGGTCAAAAAGGGTCAAAACTGCAGTCTGTCAAAAGCACAGGTTGGCAAGATTCGATGCTATAGTAGTCGTTTTCTAATCTGTCTTTTGTTTTTCTTTACAGATCCAGATAAACAAGGCAACAACATTATTGTCCTAGTGGTTGTTGCTTTCATCACAGTTTTTGTCATAGCAATTCTTACTGTAGTTCTTACCTTAGTGAACCGGCATCGAAAGAGACGAAAATGTAAGTGTGCATTTTAACAGTAAAGTAAAATCTGCTAAATCCTATTTGTTTACTGTATATGGAAAATCAGTGTTCTTGAAAAGTTCATAATCTTCCATACTCATAAAGCCCCCTTTGTGTTATGAAGCATGTATGGAGTATGGATGGGAACCCACAACTGTGCATTACCGTAGCCAATATTGTGCCAAACTTCTCTGTAACTTAAAGAGGTCATATTAAGCTTTTTGGCTTTTTATTATGTTATATATCTTTTTGTGCATTCAATAAGTTTGCAAACAAAAAAAGTCCACCCCAAAGTTAGTTACCATCTCCCACAGAAAACACTGTTCCTGAACAGCTCGATTGTAGTCCAGTCCTTACTTCTGTAACCTATATGCGTCACTTTGAAACACCCCACTCTACCTCTGATTGGCTATCTTATCCATAGCTAGGTACTGCTCATGTGCAACTTCAAACAAAGATCCAATTGAAGTGAGATGCTTCTCTCACGGAGCGGTCAACACACAGGGTGAAAAGAGGAGCTGCAGCAATGTGCAGTATGACAAAAATGAAAATGAAACCATGTAAACCTGTTCTAGTACAACCCCTAAATAATATTAAGAATCTGAAAATGAGTATAATATAACCTCTTTAAATCCACGTGTAGATTTGTGTACATGTCATTATTGCATCTGTTAAATTAGGATAGATTTTTCATTGTAGAAAAACGAGACAATCTCAAAATTGTTGCAGCCTTATTTCTTAGCATTCCAAGGCCAGATCCCAGAGGGAAGAAAATGGGGTAACTGCATGCATGTTTGTGCCAAAGCACCTTTTTCGACACAACATTACAAAATATTACATCCTGTAGAAGATAAGTAATTTAGACACAAACAAAATCTGGACTTAATGTACAGTAAGTGTAGCTCAAGAAATGTAAATGAAATGCAGTTAAGAAGTAGAAAAGGTAAAGCTCTCAAATGAAATGTAAATTAAAGCAAACACTGATTTTTTTATTACTGACCTGCAGATGAAAGAGAGAATGCTGACAATACAATCTATGCAACTCCTCAGGTAAGTATCAAGTTTTTTTTTAACATTTGCCAGACAAACCAAGGAATATCAGATTTTGAGCAATTTAAAAATTGAGACTGGATTTGAGGAAACAGGCAAAATAAAGAAATGTGCCAACCACAAATTATGAACTTACTGTTTAAGGCAGGACACTTGTTTGTGTTTGTTTTAAGTCTACTAGTCTGTTTGCATCTGTCGATTTTTTCTAAATTAACCAAACAAGCTAATCTGCATATTTAAACATAACATTTCAGTGGAAAAGACTCTTGATGAAGTCATTGTAACTGGGGATGTTCTGTGGTGATATGCTGATATAGGAGAGGGAGTCAAATGCTGCCCCCATGTTCCTGCTCGACACCCTCTGCTACAATTATTATTACTAGTAGTCCTATTGTTATCATTATCCTTAACATTTCGATTATCATAAACACTACTATAAATATCTGTACCATTATTCATTCAGTCTGTACCAACATTACCTTTACTGTCTGTACCTGTCTCTCTCTCTCTCTCTCTTACCCCCAACCGGTCGAGGCAGATGGCCGCCCACACTGAGCCATGGTTTTGCTTGAGGTTTCTGCCTCTTGAAACAAAGTTTTTCCTTGCCTCTGTCGCCTAGTGCTGCTATTGGTGGGAATTGTTGGGCTTCTGTAAATAACATCACAGAGTACAGTCTAGACCTGCTCTTTTATGAAAAGTGGTCTGAGATAACTGATTTGGCGTTATATAAATAAAATTGAATTGAAATTGGATTGAAAGTTAGAGCGAGTCCTATACTGCGCTGTGATTGGCCAGCGTGGCTTAGTGAAGGGTCAAAAAGGGTCAATATAGGAGTGGGAGGGAGGGCAGTTTGACCTGGGGCCTCATGTATAAACGCTGCCTACGCACAAAAAGTTTACGTACACTGGTTATCAGGTGTGGTGTATAACATATGTGCATTTGACCATTACAGGCACAAGTGGGATGTATAAAAATGAACTTAACGTGAGAATGTGCTGGCCGTGGCGCAGAGTTTTAAGTTTATTTTTGTGTGTAAAATTGCTTTTGTGAACAGACGGTGCTGTCAGGTGCACAGAGCGCACTGAGACGCCACGGTGGCGCACAAAAAAGATCTGCATTCTCACCTCAACTCATCCGGCACATCTTCACCACCTGCACATATGGACTGTGTAGATTAAAAATGTCCAGGGACAGCTCTCACACAATCGCTACTCTCCATCCTCATCATAACGCAGGCCAAACCGAAAAAACCTACATTAAAAAATGTGTTCACCTGTCAAACCTCAATCCTTAAATGATCTCCCGGGGTGGGGGATACTACTGACTATAGTCATCATTTTGACAAGGTGTGAAGCCTACTCTGCTGTAAAAATGTGAATACTGCGTGACACTTGTAATGCTGCATGGCTGCGCTATGGCTCTGCAGAGGAAAACGTGAGGATTAGAGGATGTGATGAAGATTTCCTGGCCCATGATGATGACTGGCTAATACTTTGATTTAGATTCCCTAAAGTCGTGCTCTTGGATCTGTGTGCTGAACTGGGTCCAGAATTAGACAGACCAACCTGAAGGAACCGTGCCAAACAAGTAGGCCTAGGCTATAACCAATGTATCTGGCAGTCGGCTGTTAGCAGTGGGAGCTGACAGGTGTGTGTCTGATGGGAACAACAATATATAGTGTTTAACTTTCTACCAAAAGTCTTTGTTCAGAATAATATAATTCTGTTAAACTCTCTCAGTCTTATTTTGTTTTTGAATAAGCTGCATCAAATAATATATAGGCTACTTTCTAACTTCCACATCACAAGCACCTTGATTTCCCATCTTTTTTGATGATCCACATTTCAGACCATGTTTTCTTTATTTCAGCCAGTATGAGTCTCTGAGCTGCACTGACAGCCATTGTAATGCCACTCCGTCGATTTGCATTGCGTTGTTGCTGATCAAAGAGTTCCAACCATCAAATTAAGTGTTTCTCCTCTCCTCCACTTCAGTGATCTGTACCTCAGCGTAGTTTTTCTTTTTCACGTGTTTTGCAGCAGGGTGGCCGTTATTATTTGGAACTTCTAGGAAATCTCAAGTCCGCCGTCTCCGAAGGCTCAAACGGGGCTTGGGTTAAGGTGCATAAAACCAGTGCCAAATCCCACTGTGGGGCAACAGGCCGCGTCACTCCCCACCCCCCTAAGGAAACGCTTCACCAGGGGGTGGGAGAACACAGTCCTATCCCCGAAGCCCTCGTGACAGGACGAAATGGCGGAAGTGTAGGTTTTAACCGTACGAAACACCAGCCCCCTGTCCATGAGCAACTGGAGCAACAAAAGCACCGCCGGCAGTGGACAGGTGACCGGGTCCGTCCCCTGGTCCAGACACCAGCGTTGGAAAGCCGAACACTTAGAGGAGTAAGAGGACTGAGTGGAGGCGGCCCTCGACCCCTGGATGGTGCAAACCACCTCCCGGGAGAGACCTAAGCCCTCCAGGCGTTGGCTCTCAGTGGCCAGACCCAGAGAGGCTGGCCGAGGAGCGGGTAACTCCTGATCGAACCCCCTGCCTGAGAGAGATCGTCCACCGTCCAGGGGAGTTTCTACGGCTGCCCTGCCAGCAACCACTGGAGACAGGGAAACCAGGACGCGCTGATGCGCTCCGGGGCCACCAGAGTCAACGCCAAGTTGTAAACTGCAGGCGATCCAGAAGGTGCAGGATCAGCCGCACCGTGAGGGGCTCCAGCACATTTATGTGGAGAGGCATGCGGCCCTGCCACAGACCACCCACCACGTGAGAAAGGCAGGTCCCACCCCAGCCCATCAGGGAGGCGTCTGTGAAGACCGAGATATGGGACGTGACCCTGCCCAGGGAAACCCCGACCGAAGACAGAGTAGTAGGCCAGTTCCGGGGCCACAGACAGAGGAACGGATACGAGGCGGCATCTTTGTCTCACCGGGTCGACATGCAGGCGGATAAACCACCGCTGCAGCCTCCTCATATGGAGGAGGCCCAGGGGGACCAGCGGTGCCAGCAGCAGCAGGTCGTCCAGATAAAACAGGACCCTGATGCCCGACCGCCGCAGCGGTTCCAGGGCCGTCTCGACACACTTGGAAAAAGTGCACGGGGCCAGGATGTAGCTGAAGGGCAGGTGGTTGTATTGGTACTGGGCGCCCTGGAATGAAAACCGCAGAAACTTCCTGTGTCCAGGAACGCCTGCACACATGAAAGTACGCGTCCTTCAGGTCGATGGAGGAGAGCCAGTCTCCCTGGCGCGCACACTCCATCGCCTGTTTCACTGTTAACATGCGAAAAGGTCTCACCATAGTCGCCCTGTTGAACATTGACAGGTCCCCCGACGTGGGGGGGAGGGCAGGGACAGGCAACAAAGGGAAATGGTCTGCCTGCGACATTGGAGCCAGGCTGCATGAAGGCCGGTTGTGTTACGTGTTTTTATCTGCCAAAGAACATGCTTCAGCTTCACTAAAAGGAATGTCGATATCGAGTTAAATTTCGTTTTGTTGCTTTTCTGTCAGAATTTGCCTCTTTTTCTTCCTGCAGTGAGTAGCTGTGTTTCCATCATTGTTTTTTTAATACGCATTTTGAATTATCACATTAGAAAAGGTTGATGGAAAGGGCAAAATTCAATAAAAAAGTCCTTAATTTCACAAAGGTTTTTACGCTCGCTTGAGGTGGTTTTTACCTATGTTGAAAAAGACTAAATGCGCTAAATGGGAGATGGAAACACTTTTTCCAAATAAGTTCTGACGTAGCAAACTTAGCGTAACTCACGTCTGATCAGCTGTTTCTGCTGTCGGCGTCTTGCCCGGTTGTGCGAAGTTTTGCACGGCTGCCGAGAATTTCATGCACCTGGCAAAACTGTGCACAAGACCGGTGAATGGCAGGCGCGGGAGTGAGAGAGAGAGAGAGAGAGGGAGAGAGAGAGAGAAAAGGTCAACAATAAGCCTCAGTTTAGCTTCGGCTCGCAATAGGTGTGCACAAAAACACACATGATTCGACTATCAGTCGGCTATAGGCAGGACTTGACGATTCTACACAGACACACACACACACACACACACACACACACACACACTTCTCAAGTGCAAGAAAAAGGGCAGGCGCACAAGCCTCTGTGTTTAAGTTGCAGTTTGTTGTGCTCTTGCGGCCAAGATATTTGTTCAAAATCAAGATACAAATAAGACAAGTGTAATGCTATAAAAACAGTGTCATCACTTTTGTAGTCAAGGATACAGAAATTTGCAGTCCTTGAAAGACATATATGACCTGCTGTCAATTGTAGTGAGACTACTTCACATGTTAATACCTTATAATAGCACTATTAGAAAGAAAGTGTAAAATATAAATAATGCACAACCTTGCTCAAAATGTATGATTAATTTTCCAGGTCGAAGATATAACCCGAGGTCTGAATCAGAGGCCAACAGATGATTCTTCCGGTCTTTCTCCAACCTCCACCTACAGCTTGGTAGGGCCTCACACTGGACCCGAGGGAACCACTGAGAGAGGCAGGACTCTGCCAGAGAGCGTGTATGCTGAGGTACAAAGGGCCAGATCCTGAAACAATTCATCAGGAATCAGCAATTTCCAGTTTTTAAGTGCTGCCTAAGCTGGTGACACAGCAAGCACCAACACCCCACCATCACATCTTGTACAGTTTGTATCACAGTTGACATACCCATGTGATCTGCTCCAGTACGGAAAGACTTTTTCCATCCACAAACATTGCAATAGAAATGCTGCTCTTTGTATTTTCACAATTGGAGCCATTAGGTCCAATATAAATCTAAATGAGAGGTATATTGTATAGAGTATATTGTTTTTGTACCAATTATTTGTGTGGGCAGTCGGCCAGCTCAGCCAGAGAAATACGTGTTACAGCTTTAAAATGTGTAAACATCTGAGGGACTGTTGGGCATGTGCGCAAACTTTCCTATGAATGAGATACCATCCTGGAACACTTACATACAATTCTACTCATATATCCAAGATCAATGTGGCAAAGTGGCAAACATTTAGTTAGCTCTGTCATCTACCTTTTGTCACCGAAAGAACTACGGGTTGACATCATATGTCATAATAGAAAATAGTTATTCTTTCATTAGAAAAGTGACTAGTTTACATGTATGGTAAGTTCACCAATGAGCATGTCTAAGTAATGCACACCACTTGCAACCATTTGCTTGAGTATTTACATTACGGCAGTGTGTATTTGTATGTATGTATGTATGTATGTATGTACTGTCTGTATATTATTTAACTTATTAGCATTACACCAACAGACTCTGTTATTGCTTCGCCGCAGCAGGCGTCCCTTATTTTTCTGTCTTATCTTTCTAACCATTATTGAGACAGCTTGAAGATCCGAGTCTTTATTGATACCACTATTGATACTTTTCTACTTGATAGAAAGATCAAACCCAACGGCAGCTGGAGATAATGATATTCCGACTCAAAGACAGTCGAAGGTATTGCATTTTTCCTTTAACTGATGCGTAACGTTGTGGTGTATTAGCACTGACGTTGTGTCCCTCCCCTCTTACAAGAAATTAACCTGGAACATAAATGGAATCCTTATCTTTGGCTTTAGTGAAATTAAGACAAGCCTTTGACCACTTTGCACATTCAGCCATCCTAGCAAGCAACCAATTCCCCAAATGAGAAATGAAGCGAACAAGGTTGTAAGGTAGGCCTGCATGATATGAGGAAAATCTGCAACGTACAATAACATTGCCATATATTGAGAAAACAATGACTTGCTGTAAATAAACAGATAATGAACTGTGCATATTTTCTGCCTGGTTGTTTTTATATTCATTACAGGCTGATCATTCTTGAGTGTTAGTCACAATAGGCAAAAATGAAACGTAGTAAACAAGTAAAGAACCAGACTAAAGTCACTAAGCTACACTAAAGTCTCTAATGAAGCAAGCAAAGGAAAATAAAGCCTGCAAGCCCAGCCATCTCACCAACTGCATCTGATGACAGTAGCTGGTGGCTCCGTGAGTAAAATCAAATGATGAAATGCATGAATAAAATCATTGGATTGATATGATGGAACATAGAGTGAAAGTGACGAGTGATGTGACTTGCAAATAAAATGTATGAGTAGTGTTAAAGGATTTAAAAGGATGAAATAAGCGGAAAGCCTAGAAGTGAAAGTCAGCTTTCATTTGAGTTACATGAAACATTTAGCCTAATAAATCAATAGACGCCATGATCACATTCTGGGTTCCCATAGGAAAGCAAAATCCAAGATGAGATCTCATAGTTGTTTCCTTCTTTTCTCCTAGACACAAATGAGCTGCTTTTAATACCAAGGTGAGACCAAAGGCCTTTTCTCCCACTTCTCAAATTCATCTCAGGAGAAACAACCATATAAAATCTCATTTATCTCTGACTCTGATCAAAACAAGAGATCTCTAACTGATCTTAAATAAGTCTAATTTAATTTATTATTATTATTAATTTTTAGTCTCCTGAAAATTGGACCATGAGATCAGAGAAAGAGCTCAAAGAAAACTCAGCTATGACTCCTGGGATCTCATGATTCTTCTCAAATATGTCTCAGTTTTCTCATATTGGCCTCAGGAGCAAAAACTCATCTCTGTCTTACTCTGATCAAAAGATGAGATCTCTTTTTGTACCAATTATTTGTGTGGGCAGTCGGCCAGCTCAGCCAGAGAAATACGTGTTACAGCTTTAAAATGTGTAAACATCTGAGGGACTGTTGGGCATGTGCGCAAACTTTCCTATGAATGAGATACCATCCTGGAACACTTACATACAATTCTACTCATATATCCAAGATCAATGTGGCAAAGTGGCAAACATTTAGTTAGCTCTGTCATCTACCTTTTGTCACCAAAAAAGAACTACGGGTTGACATCATATGTCATAATAGAAAATAGTTATTCTTTCATTAGAAAAGTGACTAGTTTACATGTATGGTAAGTTCACCAATGAGCATGTCTAAGTAAAGCCTAGAAGTGAAAGTCAGCTTTCATTTGAGTTACATGAAACATTTAGCCTAATAAATCAACAGACGCCATGATCACATTCTGGGTTCCCATAGGAAAGCAAAATCCAAGATGAGATCTCATAGTTGTTTCCTTCTTTTCTCCTAGACACAAATGAGCTGCTTTTAATACCAAGGTGAGACCAAAGGCCTTTTCTCCCACTTCTCAAATTCATCTCAGGAGAAACAACCATATAAAATCTCATTTATCTCTCTGATCAAAACAAGAGATCTCTAACTGATCTTAAATAAGTCTAGTTTAAGTCTCCTGAACATTGGACCATGAGATCAGAGAAAGAGCTCAAAGAAAACTCAGCTATGACTCCTGGGATCTCATGATTCTTCTTAAATATGTCTCAGTTTTCTCATATTGGCCTCAGGAGCAAAAACTCATCTCTGTCTTACTCTGATCAAAAGATGAGATCTCTACAGTATCTTAAATAAGCGTAATTTTAGTCTCCAGAATGTGGATCAGAAAAAAAGCTCCAAGATATTTCTCAGTTTTGTCTTAGTGACCCCACTTAGGGGTTATTTTACGCAAGTACGTTGCTTACGTCAAATGTTGAGGTTGAGTATTTTCTTTTTATGGGGGTTTGTACTTTTACTCCCCTAAATTTCAAATCCTTATTCCATTTATTGTTAATTATCTGTTAAAAGTTACTGAGAAAAATAAAATACATTCTGACATTGAAAATATTGCACTTCCAAATGTCCTGTTTTCCAATTTGTTATGGTAGTCACAGTCGGCATAACTGGAACACCCAATACTTTAACCGTGATGTTTATAGATTAATTCATTAAGGACTGAATGCACGCAAGAACTGATACACAACAAGTATCTGTCATACAGAATAAGCACTTTTACTTTTGATACTTAAGTACATTCACTATGGAATACTTTTATACCTTTTACTTGAGTAGAATTTTGAGGACTTTAATTGTGGATATGGTATTTCTCCTCTTTTAAGTAAAGGAAAATTGTACTCTGTTTAAAGACAATCAGTCCTTCACTGTTAGTTTTAGCTGGATGGAGCAGCGACAGTGTTGTTGCCCTTTTAACAGGGTTCAGGAGCAGGGTTCAAATCCAATGTGATACAAACATCTTCCCAGAGCTCCCAAATGCTTTTTAGGAGCAATAAGCAAGACATTAATGAACTCAAAAAGATACAATGATGAGATCTCATCTGTTACTTTCATTTATCCTATTGTAATCTCAATTCAGTATCCATTTATCTTACCCAAGTCTCAAAACCTCAATATCTCTTTATCTCATCCTTTTCTCCTAAGGGGTTTTAGGAGCAACAATTCAGATTGGCGTGATCTTAAAGGTATACTATTGAGATCTTAGTGTTTTCTCAGGAGTTGAAGAAAAGACTATTCAGAGGAAATTATCCTGTGCCTCTGTGAAGGACATAGCTACAGTAGCCTACAATTATTCATGGGCAGGTGTTTGTTAAACAGGAAGGCTAACAGCTACAGAGAGAAAACATGCTGCACTGTAGTGATAACTGTGAGACTGCATCCGGTTAGAAACGACTGACAACTGTGATCAACCGCCAATCAGAAACGGACGTCACTTCATGTAACGCTTCCGGTTCAAACCCGGCCTTTCTGTGTGGAGTTTGCATGTTCTCCCCGTGTCTACGTGGGTTCTCTCCGGGTACTCCGGCTTCCTCCCACCATTGGCGACCCTAAATTGTCCTTAGGTGTGAGTGCGAGTGGTTGTTCGTCTGTGTGGCCCTGCGATGGACTGGCGACCTGTCCAGGGTGGACGCCCGATGTCTGCTGGGATTGGCTCCAGCCCCCCCCCGCGACCCTGAGCGGTTGGATGGATGGATGGATCTACTGAAGAGGTTATCCAGCCCTTATGGCAATGGTGTCAGTATCTGTGACTGAAGTAAAACAAATAAATGATATTGCTGAAAGCTAGCAATACATTGGCCAGAAATAACTAATGCAAAATGAGCATATAATGTTAGCCTACACATTTCAACATTATCCCCACTTTGATCATTTTACAATACTAGTAACATACTGTATGGGTCTCAATTATTGTTGACAGTTCAAAACTAGTGCTGGGCAATGATAAAATTTTAAATCGCGATTAATCGCATGATTTTCTTGCAATTAATCACGATTAATTGCATTATTATGCGCAAAACTGAATAATGAATTCTAAAGTAGTGTATTGCACACTTTTGATTTAAATGTACTGCTATATACACAAAAGTGCAAATAAGTACAAATAAGGTGCTTTTTACCAGCAGTATTCCCTTTACATAGCAGCAATAAAATATTTCTTGTAAATCTCAACTTAAACATTAATGTGATCAAATCAAATATTAAACCAAAGCTATTTGCCACTGCCAGAGCAATACCTTTTATCTAGCTTGTTAAAACAAGTTCCCATCAGAGTCCGCACAAAAATATTATATCATTTTTAAACAGACCCATGAGGAACCGTGGCGTGCATGCGATTGTCGGCCTCACGGCAAAACTCTGCACAAGACCGGTGAATGGCAGGAGAGCAGATGGAAAATAATCAATAAATATTAATAACAATAATAACACATTCTATCCACTAATAAATTGAACTGAATTGAATTGAATTTTCTATTGTCCCCAGAACGACAGGACGCCGTTAGTGCTCAAGCACCAAGCACTTAACTCATTTCCGTTTCCGGTGCTTGTGTGTTGGTACCGTGTTGTGCTGCTCTCGCTAAATAACAGTTACATTTGTTTGATTACAGCGGCCAACTGTTCGCTAAACACTTATTCTTTACAGTAATTTTGCCTAAGCACTCACAGTTCTTTCCATCTTTTAGTGACTGCTGTTCAATCTCATAGTTGTTCTAAAGTTTTGGTAGCTGACGCTACAGTAATTTAGCTTAGCCGTTAGCGACTTTAGCTTAGCAGCTAGCGATGGCTTCTCCTTCTCCCTCTCTCTCTCCTACTTTCTCCTGCTCGGTGTGGCAGATGTTTAGTTACTCCTCTGCCTCCTTTAACGGTAATGGTACATGTAATAAGTGTAGTTTATTTATAGACATGGAGGCGAGGCTCAGTGATTTAGAAGTCCGGCTCCGCACCTTGGTAGATCAGTCTTTAGCTACTGTAGCTAGCCAGTCCCCGGTAGTCGGTGCGGAACGGCCTGAGTTAGCCTGTGGTAGCCGTCCCCCCGGCATCCCCTGTGCAGCCAGGAAAGGGGGGGGGGGCTGGGTGACTGTCCGAAGGAGGAATAGTCGTAAGCATTCAAAGTCCACGGGGCATCATCAACCTGTTCACGTTTCTAACAGATTTTCCCCACTCAGCGACACACCCGCTGAGAAACCAACTCTGATCATTGGCAGCTCCATTTTGAGAAACGTGAATTTAGTGAAGCCAGCGGCCATAGTTAAGTGCATCCCTGGGGCCAGAGCGGGCGACATTGAGTCTTATTTGAAACTGCTGGCTAAGGATAAACGTAAATACAGTAAGATTGTTATTCACGTCGGCGGTAATGACTCCCGGTTACGCCAATCGGAGGTCACTAAGATTAATGTTGAGTCGGTGTGTACATATGCAAAAACAATGTCGGACACCGTAGTTTTCTCTGGACCCCTGCCAAATCTGACCAGTGATGACATGTATAGCCGCATGTCGTCATTCCGCCGCTGGTTGTCGAGGTGGTGTCCAGCAAACGATGTGGGCTTTGTTGATCATTGGCAGACTTCTGGGGAAGACCTGGTCTGATCCGGAGAGACGGCATCCATCCCACTTGGGAAGGAGCAG